AGATAGAGAGATAGAGAGATAGAGAGATAGAGAGATAGAGAGATAGAGAGATAGAGAGATAGATTGATAGATAGATAGATAGATAGATAGATAGATAGATAGATAGATAGATAGATGTGGTTTTCTAATGTTTGTCATTTGGATAAATGTATGTTTCCTGTCAAAAATATAAAATATACAATAATTTAAACTTGCATACAATTTCGCCTTTTTTTTCATGGTCATACTCATTGGGTCACTGTGGGAAAAATAAATGACATCTTATTTAACCATGTCTTCTCTTTTGGATCTGCTAATCTCATCGTATCCCCTCTTCTCTGCTGATCTCAGACTCCCCCGGTTCCCTCTCGCCGCACTTTACACCAACATCTACAACTATCAAGGGAAACGGCGCCTCCTACCCGACCTCATTCTTCTTCATGTGTCAACCCATCTGCCACCGTTGCAAGCAAGAAGAGGCTCAGAGCTGATCCCTGGATAAGCCCGGCCCTATCCTAATCCCGTCTTCCACTCTGTCTGCTCACCTCACCACCGTCTTGTAGTCCTCAGATGTCCAGCAGCAGCCTACCATTGCCCTTGTCATTTTTGACTCTCTTATCAAGAATTTTTTTATATGACCTAGTGTACACAGGAAAAAACCACACAGTGCTCCCCTGTCACCATTGTTCACTTTTTTTTACAAGACAATACAGCTCCATTTTACTTTAATTCTTTACCAAAACTAAGGAATATCCCCGTAAAATGCGCAAAAATACCATCAACATTATTGGGAACTGGAAGCACTGGACAATACCATCAAGGTTAATGGGGACCAGCAAAATAACCTTACAATGACAAATCACTCAACTAATTACAAAATATATATATGTACTGTATATATTAGGGATGTTCGATAATATTGGCCGACCAATATTATCGGCACGATATTAGCATATTATGTAATATCAGCAAGTGTCTTTATCGGTTTTTCCTCCAATAACAGAAACCCGATAATGCAATGCCTGGGTTTTGGAGAAAAACGACTGTATATCAAAGTGAAAGTCACTAGATGGCAGCACTGCAGCTCATTTCATTAATCTCGTGCTTACAATATCTGTACAAATACAGATCTGTACAGGAATCGGAAATTAAGTGTTTGGACAATATCGGATATGGGCAAAAAGTTAATATCAGACAACCCTAGTATATATGTATGTATGCATATATACACATATATATTTTGTAATTAGTTACAATTACAAAAATATATCTATATAGGTATATATGTGTATATATATGGTAATTAGCTACAATTACAAAAAATACACGTACATTTGTATGTAGGTATATATACCAACATATATATATACATATATACTGCACTAAACTATACTGAACTACAAAACACAGCAAAACGTCTCCCAAAGGCCAAAGTTTTCCCACATCTTTTTTTTTCCATGCCCCATAACTGTAGCTATAAGAGGTACGCGCGTGCGCGTGCACGAAACCTGACATGGTCCTGATCCAGCAGAATATTCCTGAGCCTGTGTCAACTGTCCGCTCACCTCCTTTCTGTACAACATCGCTCCTGCCACGGCCGCGCATTTCGCTTCATCATCGTCATCATCATCACCCCGACGATTAACACCGTTATCATCTGCTCTCTGCGCCAACAGCTCTTCGCGTGTTTATCGGCCGCAGCGGCTGGTAGATTACAAATCCTTGCGTGGAAGGACACTGCGGTGCTACGGGGAAATACTGCAACATGACAACCGTCGGTGACCGGAGGGGCCGAACCTTTGGACACGACACTAGAATATTTGACATATATGAGATTGGTGGAGAAATAACTGCATGATGGTAACACGGCCTGCATCAAACGCCCACCCCTCACCCCCAACACACACACACACACACATCAACATCACACCACACGAGTAAACAGTGAGGGCGAGCATCCCTTACCCGAACATTCCTCCCAGGAAGGATCCAGACGCCTTCACCTTTTTGTCGGCTTCAGTCATCAGCTGCATGGCCTCCTTCTCTTTGCCAGAGTTGTCCATGGCGAGGAGGATGGAGGAGACACGGAATAAAGGAGAAGCTGTGTTGAGCTGCTGCAGTGGAAGGATGGGAGCGAAGAGCGGAGGAGGAGGAGGAGGAAGCGGTGGTAGAGGAGGAGGAGGAGGAGGGGCCAAACTAAAAAGATGGTGCTGATGCTAGAAAGCGGCGAATCTTCCTCTTCCGTTAGCTGGAAAGGTCGTTGGTGGTTTAATTTTGTCACCCTCTGCTGGCCAGAATCTGGAAGTGCAAGTGGAAAACACGGACATTTTAGGGAATCATTTAGAGTTCATTTACTTCACATGGTTATATAAACCCAAAGCGTCACATTATGGAGAAGTATTTTAATAGTTTTCAGCAACATTAAAAATATTGATAAAGAAATGCAAAGGGTAAAACACAGCATGCACCGTTAACTCACCATTTCAACATAACATTTCAGTGAAGATCGTGTGTCTCTTGAGAGAGAGAGAACATAGTTTTCTTTAGAGTACAACCATAGGTGATAACAGTGAGATTTTGGGTTGTTACAGAGACTTAAATGAAATATAATCACCTTTATATTCCAGATATTATTTCGTTGTACTTTGTATAAAAGCTTACCATTTAAAATAATAAAAAAAATATTAAAAATGCTTAGTTTTTTTTTTAACTTTGTAATGACTTTATCCTGTGAAGCTTTTTAGGAGAACCGCCTCACACCAGAATATGTGGCTAGACCATATTTCCTACAGTCGCTGTCCAACACCTGAACAAACCAACATTATCAGTTTTATTTCTGTAAAGTATTTGTACACACACACCAAAAAAAAAATAGAACAATAATAATAAAAACAAAATTGACAACTTACTAAGTCGCAGTTTAACTCTGCAGTCTTCATGTGTAATTCTAGCTTTTTGGTTTCTTTGCTCTTATTATTATTATTTTTTTCCCCCCCCCATGTCTACACGTATGACAGTGATGATCAAACCTAACACATTTGATCTGTGGTTCAACCACAAGGTGTGAGGATTTTGGTTGGGTTTCAGAAGCACTAATACAGACCGCGTTCTGCATAGATTTGAAAAGTGCAGCTTTTATCCATTTATGTAGCTTGGTTATGTACTCAAGAGCTGCCCTGGGCGTATTTGACATTTTGTTCAGTGTCACTTGTAGCTGAGTCATACTCCCTGTGGATCAAGCTACTGATTATCCAAAAAAAAAAAAAAAAGAAAAAAAAAAGAAATGAAACCATTGCCAGTTACAGCCCCAGAAACCTCACCTGTGGACAGTATGTGCAATAAATACTCCTTAATGAGCAAACCTGACTGTAACAAGCCATTCGGTAAATAATAATAAATATTATTGAAAGGTGAGGTACTTTATATTAACACAAAGAATATGCAGCTTTTTGTATTTTTGTTCTGACTAATAAATTTTGCACCGGTTAATCGAAACATTTTTAAAAGTAGTCATCCAAACAAATAAATAACCACAAAAAAGATTACTATATACATTACATTATTATTATATTATTTCAAATAATCATTATTATATTCAGAAACAAAACCATCATGCAGAGAGAGTAGCCCCTTTCCTACAAAAAAATAAATAAAAATATCAGGAATCCCTGGAAAGTTGCTGCTCTGATAGTCACAGGGAAACACAGCATTTTGAAAACGATTTTTATCAAATAAAATACAGCGTGTTTTATATATGGACTGTCTAAAAATGGAAATAAAGAAGGGGTTCTTGGTTTACGATGCCCTGGACCTACGTGAGGTGGTGGTTGTGGTGTCAAACATGTGGCCCGCGGGCCGACCTGGACCTATGTGAGGTGGTGGTCGCGGTGTCGCGGTGGCCGGGGGAGTCTGAGATCAGCAGAGAAGAGGGGATACGATGAGATTAGCAGATCCAAAACGAAAGACGTGTTTAAATAAGATGTCATTTATTTTTCCCACAGTGACCCAATGAGTATGACCCATGAAAAAACCAGCCCGCTTGATGAATTTTGAAAATAATAATACGCACAAAGACTTCATGTCAGAGATGTTTTGTCACATTATATTACATTAAATACGAATATTTCCTAATATACTTGTAGTTATTTGCATAAAAACAAAGGAGTAAAACATGGACTTATTGTTATTTACAGGTAATTAAATTATAATTGAACAGGTCCGGCCCACTTGACAGCTAACGCCCCCTGGTGAAAATGAGTTTGACACTCCTGCCGGAATTTGCGAAGTCTCTTTCTAACGTAAAAACAAATTTTGCACTGGACTAGTCGCTGAGCACAGCGGACGAATACGTTGTTACGGGGCATTTACGCGGAAGACGGCTTTGTTTACATTCGCTGGTTGTACGCCCTACATCGGATTGTGCTACATTTGCTTTTGTATCGTTTGTGTTGTTGTTTTGGGTTTGCGTTTTTTTTTTACCCTTCGGCAAGGCTCCCAGGCATAAGTCAGACTCTTCTGATGTTTTCATGTCCTACATTACGATGTTAGCGCTGTGATAGCGTCGGTGAGTGACACAGGTACTTAAATACAGTATGCGGGGTCAGACTTACGCTGAAAATCGAGTTAGATTGCGTTGCGGAAACTTTGCGACGTAAGTCGATGACAACTGTACTTTACGTAGTTCGGTAAAAAGCTTTAGCTGTACAACAGTATGAAGTTAGGATTAGGGATTAAATTTATTCTAAAATTAGATGTCTTCCAGCTTATGAAACGGCACACTTTATTATCGTTTTTTTTGTACGATATTAACTTTTTAACGATATGCCGATATTATCCAAACACTTAATTTCAGATGCCAATATCAATATACCGATACTGACATAGGGGGCAGTGGTGGCCTGGTGGTTACGAAAGTTTAATTGCAGCTCACGAAAGTAATGGGTTAAAGGAGTGTTTCTCAATTTTTTTTCTACCATGCCCGCCAACTGGCCGATATTATCGAACATCGATTGTTGTGGATTTTAACATATTTACAGGAAATATTTCATATAAATAATCCTAAAATGTATGCATACTAATCAGTAAAGATAATATAGACAGTCAAGTGTATAGATGGTAAAAATTAACTTAACTAATTTGAAGGTAAAGTAACAGGAAACCTCATTCAACAGGCCTTCATACAATGCTGAAATGCAACAGAGTGCATGCTGGGAGGGACTTTTTACAGACAACATTAACGTATTTGTCCATTAAAACAGTGCAGTTAACAGTCTTTTTTTTCCACCAGCTTGCCGTTAGTTTTGATTTCGTTTCATTCTCAGTCTTCCTCTGACAGAGTGTCATGAGGGGTCGACGATCGGGACTTGCTTTGACCCCTGACCTCTGTCTTTCTATCTTGCAGAAAGTCTCGAATCTCCCCCGGCAAACGCTGAAACTTCTCCTGAAACTCGGCCTCAACCACGCCCTGCAGCTGAGGAAGATGAAGGAAGAGCAGACTGAACGTCATGAAAACGTCCACATTATCTGTTCTATTTACACTAAATGTCATTTATCGTTGATCTTTTTTATCACTTATTTTTCAATGCTAGCAAAAGCCGTACCTTAATTTTATATTGTACAACGTTTCCACTGGAGGCAAGAATTCGACGTACTTTACACCTGTACCTGCTCTGATGTATGTATGTTATTGTTTCTCTAACATTTTTTTTTATTTTTGTTTGTTTTAAATCAGACTCATTTGATGTCAGTCACTGTTCAACACTTTTTGTGTGCTCTACCTTGGGTTTCTGCTCTTGTATCTCCTGCAGGAGCGCATTGTGTTGCTCCACCAGCTGGTCATGCCGCTTAGTCTGCATTTCTTCAAGCTGTAGATCAAGAAAAAAGAAGAAGAAACAGCCATAAAAAGCATTTTATTATATTTAATATTATGAATTACACTAACGAAAAACAAACGGACATTAGGGTTAGCTCAACTCTCAGGTTCCGTAAGACACTGTTTTATAGTAAAATTCTGCTACCATCCTTTGTAAGTGTTGGGCAGCGTAAAAATTTAAAAAAAAAGATTGGACAAAAGGGACACAAAGTGTTTAGATCTTCAGTAAGACACAGATATCATCTCTGGAAACATCCTTCGGACATTGCTTTGACTTATCTCTAGCTTCACTTACGCGTTTTATGTTCTGGACAACTTCATTGATATAGGACTTATTGATCTCAATCTTCTCCCTGGGAATAAAAAGAAAAGTTGAGCTGGGTTCAGGTGGATTGATTTGACAAAACCAGCACAGTGTTTCTACTAGGGTTGATTTTATAAAGCAAAGATGGAAGAGAGTTAAGAAAAGTGTTAAGTTAAACTTGCAAATGTATGTAGATATATAATTTAAATGTTAAATGTAAAGTCACTTCTCTGTTAAAGTCAGTTTTGTTTTGGTGAATAGCAATAGCAACGTTGCTGTGAAGCCCAGCTCATTATACAAATATGACGTTGTATGACATCATGATACGTGATTTTGTTGTTCATATATTTGTTGTTTGCTGCAATCATGTGATTGCAAGTGACAGCTACTAAAGTTTTTTGTGATGTCGGAATAGGGTCCCAAACCACTGCCTTAAATCTAATAGGGTATTATGTTTAACTTATGGACAATAACAACATCTGACGTTGTGTAACTCTGCGCAAACCAGCAGGTGGAGACACTTGAGAATGTTTAGAACTTCAGGTACAGTAACAGTAACACAGGTAGACTATTATTTTGTATCTGCTCCAATTCTGAAGAATTAAACAGGAGCAGGCAAGAATCCTGATTTCTTGGATTGTTATGTTCCATTCCTGGAGCCATTAGCTACAGTTTAGAACCAGTAGTCCCAATTGTGACCGAAGCATTTACTTATTATAAATTTAGCTATTTTTTTTAGCCAAAATCTAAGTCAAGGTGTATCTAAAATTAAGTGGCTATAATTAGGGTAAGGTATAGAGAGCTCTGGTTAGGATGTACAAATGCTAAGTCACCGCGCAGTTCTAAGGAACCGTAAGTTCTAAGTCTGTGTGTGCGTTGTTCATACTCTTGAGCCAGATGTTTTTCTTTGGTCCTGACTTGGTTGATTTTCTCCGTTCTCCTTTGGTCCATCCGTCTCTTTAGCTCTTTTTTCTCCCTAAAGCAGCAGCAGAACGGTGACAGACAGAATAGTTGGTAAATCATTAGGTCAAAGAATAAAAAAAAAACTGATGACAATCCACTTTTACTATATTAGTAAGTGTTTACTTAATATAGCTTGTGTTTTTTTTAGCGCTGTGCTACATGAGCAGACGTACGTATCCTTTGGAGCCTTAAGAAAATACAGAAAAAAATGTTTTTTTCTTACTTGTCACAAATGTCTTTGAGTTTCTTCATCTGACTGTTGTGACTCTCCTCAGCCAGACTGCCAAGTCGCTCTGTTAACTGCAAGAAACATTTTGTTTTTTCACCATAACAGGTTTTTTTTTTCATCTAACAACACTGGTAAAGTGGTTTCTATAAATGCATAACTGTTTTTTTTCCATCTAATAACACTGGTAAAGTGGTTTCTATAAATGTGTTGTTTACATTTTATTAACTTGTCTGACAGTGGTTAGAAAATGAAAAGTACAATAAAAGAAATTTACAGCCGCAGATTTGACCAAACGTCTCGCTAAAGTAGTTCGAAAACAAACAAAATAAAATTAAGTTCTTATATATAAACGCACTTGAAAAGTTTTACCATTCTGATATGTTCTTTTTGCAGGTACTTCTGGCTGTAGTACTGCTCCTGCCGTGCAGCCAGAAGCTGCTGCTGCTGCTCTTCTCTCAGCTGTTGGAGATTATCTTCTTTTTCACTGTAAAAACACAGAGCACAAAAAAAATAAAAAATCAAATCAAATCCTAATCCTTTTTAGACGATCATTTTATTGATTTAATATGTCCCTTACGCTGTGTTTTTTTTATCTAAATATTTCTTCCCTACATTGACAACAGATCAGTTTCCAATTCGTTTACGTACCGGCTCTTGCTGCAGCGTCGGACAGTTTTCTTGTGCTTGTTGTTAATCTCTCGCAGCAGCTCAGACGTTTTCTTCTGGTGTCGTCTGACCAGCTCCTTCAGCTCTTTGAATTGACGCCTCTGCTCCTTTTGGTACACTTTAGAATGCTGCAGACCGTTCAGGGTGCAAACTGGGACATCTGTGGACAAATGAGTCAAAACACTGGCAGATTGCTCGACTGTACTGTACTTATATAACGAGGTTGTTTTTTTTTTTTTTTTTAAGGCTTTAAGAGCAAATATTGTTGTAATTACAGGGCTCAAAAAATAAGGTTCTAATTAATTCACTTTTAATTATCTTGACGCAAGATGTTTTTTTATAGAACTGGAACATTTTTAATCAAGGGAATGTTAAATATGTAAGGAGCTTTGATTGAACGCACGAAAGGCTACAACTGACACCGGATCATATTTGACAAACAGTTGAATATTCAGTTGATTATTCTTTTCATTAGTTGGTTTTTTAATTTGTCAATATTTCAGATTTTGTTCAGATTTGAATTTCCTTCAGGGAGACCAGACTTATGGCCACAAATTAACTTCTCCAAAACACAATTCGAACATCGATTAAACGTGGACTGACCTATTAAAACACTTAAAACCAGGTCTTCGGTCCTTGCTGCCGGTTTGGCTGCATCTAAACCAATAAGAGAAGAGTTAAATGTAAGAGAGTTACAGACACAGAGATCTAAAATCTGGAAATTAAAGTCCAGAAAAAACAGAGGAATGTTAAAACACTGGTACAAAAGGACACCAATTGGCGCTCATTCCAAAAGGAACGAATCCTGGAGGACAGTCAATTAGTCACAAGACGCTCGTTAGGGACGAGAGTGGATTCCCAGGCGCAGGAAACACAGGAGTGGAGGAGGCGAGATGTATGTAACAAGTCAAATAGTGAAAAGGTGAAACTAATTGGCAGACGGTGGGGTAGGTGGTAGTAAGAAGAAAAAAAACAAAAAACAAAACAATTTTAATATCTTTACTTGTATTTCTATTATAATACAAAACAGTCTTAATTTTTGTTTTTTTGGAATTTTTTGCAACTTTGTTGTTGTTCAAGTGCTTCTTGTTACATTGTGTTTAACCAATTCGAGAACGCAGTTGAGGTCAGTGGCGGCTTTTTGCACTTTTGTCTAGCGTGCAAAAAGACAGGACAGAATGCTAACATTAAATACAAATACACGTTAAATAATATTTAAAAAAAAATCAGAGACAAAAACACAGGTGGAGCTTTTAAACTGGCAGCTATTTTGTGGTTGGACGCAGACAGCTGTTGCGATGACCGTGAACTCCTGGGATGCGAGACGACCCAAAAAAAAAAAGCTCTTGCGATCCACCTGAGGGTCGCGACCCAGTCTTTGGGAAACAACGCTGTAAACCATACACAGTAGAAAGCCTCACTGTAAACCGTCTAATTCAAATTTGCTGCTATTTTCCTGTCACAAAAACTATTCACAAACTCTGGATGGTTGATTTTTGACCAAAAAAAAAGTTGTTTTCTTATGCCTTCGATATGTAGTACTATCGAGTACTACATTAGTAGTCGGAATATTACCTGTCGGAGGAGCTTGCTTATTAGCCGCTGCAGTTTTGGGCATCGTGGGGACAGGGGTGTGTCCTGCAGGACCGGCAGCGTTGTTGAGCCCATTTTCCAGTTGATCGGACTTCAAGTCAGTCTCAGTGCATGGTTCAGATTCCTCCTGAAAATAATTGAAATTGTTAGCCACCATTTTTTTTGTTGAGACAGAGCAGGAAACAACTTATTGACCACACTGACCTCAGTTTGTGTCTCCTCCCCGTCCTCCAATGTAAGAGCTGCCAGCTGTTTAGACCTTTGTTCCAATAGGTTGACGTAACGAATGGGGTTGGACAAAGCCTCTATGACATCTGGGGAAGATTTGATACAAACTGATTATCTCTGCTATACATCCGCAGATGCAGAAAATTGAAGAAGCTGTAATGTTCATTTCATATAATATATAAGAACAAGAGAAATAATAAATAGTTATTACAAATACAATAACTTTATATAATGCTATTCCATGAAAAGTCATATTATTTAAATTTTTAATTTTTAAAAGTTTGTTCACGAGCCATATACAACCTAAATAGATGTCAAGTGGGCCGGACCAATATTAAATTATAAATTACAATAAAGCCATGTTTTTCCCCTTTGTTTTCATGCAAAGTACAAGTATATTAGATATTTATTCATATTATTTATTCATATTTTATGAAATAATAATTTTACAAGTTCATGAGACATTGTGTTTTTTTTCAAAATTCATCAAGAGGGCCGGTTTTGGTTTGGTTCGACACCCCTGATTTACTGTATCCAGACATTAAAACATTCATTCATTTTAAGCTACAAGATTTCACACATCACACTAAAATAATACAGCAACTTCCACACCATAAAAAACCTCAAAGTTAGCCGGAGGATGGTAAACCATTCTTATCATGCAAAGAACGTAGACAGCTCAAGGACTGTGGACATTTTACCTGCAAAAGTGTCCGGGACGTAGTCTTTGACTTCGATGTAGACAAAAACAGCTGGAAGAATAAGGGACTGGTTTTTCTCACTTCTCAAGCCGATGTAACGATAACCTGGGAGAGACATTTGGTCAAAACACAGTTGGAGTTGATATATAATATAATCAAATATATAATATAATAGAGTTGATAAAAACCTTACACTATAGTAGGGCTTTGATAAAAAAAATTAAAAAAAAAGAACGGTCGACATCAGTGGCACAACTCAACCTTTTATCATTAACTTAACTTAGTCAGAATCACTTGGGCAGTAACTTTATTCTGTGCGGAAGAAACATTTAAACATGTATTTATTTATTAAAGGGCAGTGCACATTTGACATCAAACATGTCAAGATTTAGGAAAACTGTGAATTTTATGCAAAATAACAACTGTTTTTAAAAAAAAAAAACAGCAACGGCATTTCTTTCCTTGTTATTCATGGAGTTTCTGGGATCAGTAGATTGAAATAAACACTGTCGGCCGACACTCTCTGTTTTGAACTGTTGATATCAGCTAAACGCTTAAAGCTAACACCAAGTGACTCAAATTCAATAGTGGAAATATTAAACTATGAACAGAAAAATGGAACAAAACATAATAAATAAACAAAAAGTACCGGGTCTTATGGCCAAGACGGGAATGATCCGATGGCCGATAAACTTTCCTCCTTCCTCATAAGCTGCGATTCTCAGCGAGGCCAGGGTTGGAAGGATCACCTGTTCAGAGACAAGTCAAAGACAATAGAACATTAACCCTTGCCTTGCTATTTTAGTATTTTTTCCACTACGTTGTCACCTTCTTGAAGATGATTGGTTCTTCATCCCACACTGGGTTGATGGCGTTGTTCTGAGAGGTTTTCGTCTTCAGTGCTTTCCTCTTGGTGTCTGCAGGTAGTCCAAACATCTCAACCTCCACGTACACACCCACCCGCCGCTCAGTCAAGAACTGGCCGGAAATCACCTGGACGTACGGGGACAAACGATAACCATAAGACATTGTTACAATAGGTAATGTGATCTAAGTGAATTAAGTCATACAGTTATTAGTAGGGATGTCCGATATTAACTTTTTGTCGATATCAGATACGTCGATATTGTCCAAATGCTTAATTTCCAATTCCAATATCAACCGATACTGATAATAAAATGAGCTGCAATGCTGCCATCTAGTGACTGTCACTTTCATATACAGCCGTTTTTCCCAAAACTATTTTTAGTGTACACATATTTTTGGCAAAACCCAGGCATTGCCATATCGTTTTCATTATCGCAGGAAAGACCGATAACGATTCTTACAGATATTGCATCATTTTGCTTATATCAGGCCGATAACATCAGCCGGCCGATATTATCGGACATTCCTAGTTGTAAAGTTTTCACTTTCACTACATTAAATTCTAGGCCTTCAAACTTTTACCTTCACAGAGAGCATGTTTGCTACAATGCCGTCCACGGTGTTCTCCGTGAAGGGGTCAAAGTGCTTGTCCGGCCTCCTCATGAACTCAGGCTTCAGTCTGTAGCCACTCCGACCGTTGTATTCAAACATGGAGAGATTCAGCTGCATAGATAAATCTGGAACAGATTATAGATACGCATGGGTCAAAAAGGTTGAAGGGTGCATTTTACACCCTACACATATGAAGCAAGGTGAATGGGTTACTTTGGGCTAATGTGTTTTTACTGATTA